GAGACTCTGGAGGAGTCCATTTTTTTCTCTATTCGTGATTGGTTGAAAATGACGCGAGCGTGCATTGTTTTAAAGTCGCCAGCGCGCACTGGCCTCATTAGTCAAGAGAATCATCCTTTTTTAGCATAAACACACATGTTTTCACACATTTTTGTTTTGAAAAAGGTGTAAATATCGTTTCTAAACTAAGTTGTTTGCTAAACCTTCTTCATTTTTGTGATTTTAATGCTCTAAACGCAGAAAAAAAATTCACCTCATTTGCACAATTTGCGATGGAAAAGCGTTCGCCAATCTCGTACCCAGAGCCCACACTTTTGTCATCCGCTAGATGGCAAAAGTGTGTGCTCTGGGTACGAGATTAATTTACGTTAACGAACGTTAACAAGTTAAACGTTGTTCTCACCCGCACATATCGTTTTTCCTCTCGTTCGTCCATCAATGATTGTAACTGTAGACTAGCATTTAAACATTGCTGAATAATAATCCGGATGGACTGCCCATTATCAGAAGAAGTGAACGATGCCATTCCCTACTATACATTAGACAGGAAGTCCGGAAATCTCATTTGCAATCTTGAGCCCACAGGCGCCCAGTACAGTCACACGAAATGTGCGCATGCTCACTTGGTTGGAAAGGTGAATGAGTACCGCACACAGAAATACACGAAGGTTTTTGAGAATGTTGTAAATGCTTAGACTATTATCCACTTTAACGGAAACCAAGTGATGTCAACAACCAAAGGATGTCAAGCTCTGAGGTTTATTCAAAGTAAGATAATATGTTATTTAGTTAATTTGATTGCCATTGACTAGACTTGATGCGAAAGCGTTGTCTAGTATTAAATTGTAAATTGAAGGAGCCCCTAGGCTTGCATCAGGGCCATTCCATTGGGCCATTCCATTGAATATGCGCTTCCCCCCTATTGAGGTATTACATTAAAAAAAAACCCTTGGATACTTCTCTGTATATAGTCTGGATATACCCCCCTGGACAGATTTTTTGTTTCCCAAAATGTATACCCCTGGATTTTTCCTAACTATGCTTAGGATTTATACCTCCTTGGAATTACACATCCTTGATTAACCCCCTTGGGAAAGAAATATACTAGAAATATAGTAGAAATATACATGCATTGCCATACAAATGCATAATGAGAAGATGTGAACTCTGTCTATATATCTGAGAAGCTTAAATTTATAGCGGAGCTCCCGCGCGGGCCAAAGGCCCGCGCGAGCGGAGCACCATAGCTAAGAAAAAATGGTATACCATTGAGTCGATTTTCCATGGACCGACACAGGGTTCCCGCGCGTACGCAAGTTTCCTTCAGTCCTTCCGTCCTTCTGTTCTGGATTCCGTGTACCACCACAGGAAACCCATACTCCGCTCGAAAAGGAAACAAAGCGCCAAGTATTTGTTGAAAAATCGAAAGTTTTTCCTTAAACATTTATATTACATATTGATAATATTAGAACAATTAATAATAAGGAAAAATCCACTGAAGAGCGAAATAACAACACAGAAATATTCCCGCCAATTTTGTCATAACTTCGACGCGTCCGCACATCCGGGAAATCAATTTGCGAAGATGAAAAGCAATTTAGGCCCATCTTAAAAGTGATATTAGAAAGAAGGATTTTACTTTGATATTTCGACAACAAAAAGAGATGATACTTTATTGGAAATACTTCTGAATAATATGGACCAATATGCAGGGATTCTGGAAGTATGCGCGAAAAAAATCAAAATTATGCGGGATTATGCGCGAAATTATGCGCGATGACGTCATCGCTTAAAACCTAAGATATGACTAATTCGGATTAGGAAACTCAGTTATTTTGTTTCGTTTTTTAAAAGAATGGAATATTAAGCATTATAGATACATGATCTTTTCCATTTAAACATAAGTATATGGCCAAAAGAGAGAACAATCCTTGTAAACGTCCGCCATCTTGGAAACCGCCAATGGCTGTGGAACCTGGGCCGAGCCACAGGAAACCCATCACTAAATGAATGTCATAAAAACAAAATGGCGTCGCGCGCACATATGGCGTTGTTTTGTTAAAAAATGATACTTTAGTACTTTGTATGACGATAAAAAAGGGAAAAAACAATACTCAAGATTTTTTGACAAATTATGCGGGATTATGCGGAGAATGGCCGATTATGCGGGTCCGCATCAGCGCATAATTCCAGAATCCCTGAATATGGGAAAAAGCAGGGATCTATGCGAAGTTCTTTTGTCGACTAAAAGTGTGGACATTTCGAAACCAAGACCATGCTAGCAGTTAGATTGAGAGAGATTAAAAACAAAGAATCTACAGTCTTGAATGACTTAATAAATTGATGAAACCTATGGCTCTGTTGAAGATGACCTTTGAACGATAATTTATCGGAAGTTCGATAATGAAGGTAAAAAATATATTTTTGTATTATA